AGACTCCAACTCAAAAAAAAAAAAAAAAAAGAGATATTCCATACTGATGCAGCAATTAATAAAGTCTGTCAAAGAGAAAAAAAAAAAAGTAGACATGGAAGTCACAGTTTTGTCCTTTCCCAGATCCTTGGCACATCTGCCTGCACCAAAAGGAAGAGCTAAGTGAATTCAACAAACACTGACTCAGGGCTCACTCTGGGTGAGGTCTCCTGGTTAAATCTGGAGAACAGTTCACAAAAAGAGGATAGACCTTCCACATGGAGAGATTCTGGACTGAGAACAGAGTAAAATGGATATGGAAGCAGCCCATACAGTCTTGGGTGGCCTGGAGTCTGGCCCTACCTGTCTGCAGCCTCTGCAGCTTTCCTCTCCTCCTAGTGGGGCTCCCAAAATGCCCAACTCAGCCCAACCCTGAGCTCCAGGGCCAGTCTCAAACATTAGCTTCCAGGTCCATGACAAACTTGCCAGGGCCCAAAACTAAACACTGAATTGGTATTCTTGGGTTTGTAGGCTCTGTGTCCAATGTCCTTCCAAAGGCCATACTGGGGAGAAGACCCTGCATGGGCCACTCCAGAGGGGTCCCTAAGAAAAAAAGTAGAATGTTCTAGTGTGTTCAAATCCAGGGGACAAGGAGGGGAGGGAAGAGGCTTTCTTATAACATGGGATGTGGTCGGTCTTATCGCAGATTTTCAGGCCTCAGCTCTTCTGGCTGTCATCTGTACTACAGCACAGAAGTCAGCCCTGAGCAATTCAGTACCTATACTTCTCCAGACTACTTTGTTTCCCTGAGTCCAGCAAATTGTCCTAAAAACAGCAAGCACTCCCTTTTTTTCATTTATTTATCCCAACTTTAATTTCCTGGTTCAAAAATCAGAAATATAAAAGGGTATACAGTGAAAAGTCTCCCATCCCTGTCCTAATCTGCTTTGGCACCCCCTCTAATAGATAACCACTGCTGATTTTTTTCTGTATTTTTTCAGACATCTTAATACACATGTAAACAATATTAGTGAATACTACATTCCCCATCTTTTTAATACCGAGAATAGTACAGTATACTTCCTCTTCTGCACCTTGCTTTTTAATGCAGTGATCTTTTTCTGAGGAAAAGTTAAGTCCTAGAAGACCAAGATGGTGTCTTAGAAATGACAGGCACATATACCATTGCCTGAAAGTGATACCATGGCCCTGCCCTATCCCTCCCTGCCTGTAAATACACATCTGTGAGTGTCAACCCTTGGTTTGGGGGCAGGAAGGGATGGATAGACTGAGAGGGAGGCAGGTGGCCCCAATTACAGCGATTTCACCAAAAGTTTCTTTGTCTAGACCCAGAGGACACCAAGGAGGGCTTTTCCAGGTGTCGCTGTCTCAGCTCTCTACAGCAGGGGGCACCACTGGCCTACACAGGAGGCCAGAGGTGAGCCTGGAGGAGAGGAAGGTATATGGGAAGCTGACTAGAGACTAAGAGAAGAGCCAAATTCAGAAAGTGAGACCAGGAGCCAGGAAGCTGTGCCACCCCTCCAGAGCACCATTCCCTGGGGATGCCAGCAGCCTCTGGCCCCTGCTGCTGTCAAGACCAGAGTTTCGTAGGAGGGCCAAGGATCAAAGGCAACTTGGCAACAACTTGCAAAATTTCTAATTCCAGTGTCCCACATTTTAAAAACTTAACCTAGAAATCTACTTCCATGAAATATATCACCATTACAGCAGTGTCTGAGACACTTTACAAACTGAAAAATGGAAAGCACCCCATTGTCCATCCAGCAGGGCACTGGTTTTACAGAATGTGGCACGTGCAGACAAGAGAACAAGTGCTATCAGAAGGAACAAGGTAGTTCCACACACGCAGCTTGCATAGTGTGATCCTATTTTTGTCTAAATAAAGATATACTTTCAGCCAAACATGGTGGATCACGCCTGTAATCCCAGCACTTTGGGAGACCAAGGTGAGAGGATTGCCTGAGCTCAGAGGTTTGAGACCAACCTGGGCAACTTGGCAAGACCTTGTCTTCACAATAAATCAAAAAAAATTAGCCAGATGTGGTGGCACATGCCTGTGGTTCCAGCTACTTGGAAGGCTGAGGCAGAAGGATCGTCTGAGCCCCAGCAGGTCGAGGCTGCGTTGGTCATGAGCTTGCCACTGCACTCCAGCCTGGGTGACAGAGTAAGACTCTGACTAAAAAAAAAAAAAAAAAAAATATACTTTCACAGGCTCACACACATAGAAGAAATTTTGGGAAGTATTCACAAGAAACTATACCAGTAGGTGTCTCTGGGAAGAGAATTAAAGAAGTAAAGAAGTCAGAGATCACAAAAGGATGCTTTATTTTTCAGTGTACATTAGTCTACCCTATTTGAATTTTTTGCAACAAAAAATTGAAAATCAATTTTTAAAGGAATCCAGGTCCACAGGAAGCCGACCTAGAAGAGCAATAGGAGGAGGAGAAGGGATCTGGCCAATCAGAGGACTTAGACACAACCCAGAAGTGAACAGGGCACACCTGTAAGGAGGGATCAGCGCTGGCATCACCACCCTTGGAAATCAAAATCCACATGATTGAAGCATAAATGCTCAGAACTGAAACGCTGTCTGTAAATCCCTGGTAGAGCATCCCGTGACTGAGTGTCTGTCCTTCCTGACTCCTGAACCCAGTCCCACATGTCCTCACACACACAACACAGGGAAATCAGGAGCCTGTGTGGGCTCCAGGGGAGTCTGGGTTGGTCAGAGGCATGGGCTCCCACTATGGCCCCTGTGCGTACCTGTGATCTCATGCTGCCGAAGCTCATTGTACTTGTAAGACTGCTCAAGGGGCTTGATGGATGAGTGGTAGATCTTTCGAAGCCGCTGCAACACCGCTGGGGGCAGGGAGGAGTGAAGGGAGAGCATCAGGCAGGGTGGGCTCCAGGCAGTGCCTCTACTGTGGCAGGGTCTCACACCACAGGGCAGCTCTTTCCCTGCCTGGTGGGGAGCAGAGGCCATTTGCAGCCCATCAAATGTGCGGTGTATTAGCATTTGAGAGCTGGTTCATGTCTCAACTCTCAGAACCTTTCAAACTAAAAGGCATCCTCCTAACCACCCCCTAAGACCTCCTGAGCTGTTTGTTTTAAAACTTTAAACCTTTCTCCCTCCCCACCTCAGTAGTGTGTCTGAAACACTGCCTGGGCCTCCAATCTAACTAAAGACTCTTTCTTTGACAGATAGGAGGCCAGGTGCCAGCAGGCCTGCAGGCCAGAACCCAGCCCTCGCCTATCACTGCAATTCCAGATGCTCCCGGAGGAGTCAGACAACCCAGGTGTCCTTTGGGAAGAGCACGGATCCAGGGTGAGGTCTGGAGTCTGTGGGTGTGAAGCACCAAGAGGAAGGCACGTGGGACTGCAGGTCAGGCTAGCCAGACTCTACTCTCCACCCACTAGCTAGCTGTACACCAGGAGCACATTGCTGCTAGCTTTGACCTCTAGCTAGCTCACTGATTAAGAGGAGACAATAAGCCCTGCTGAAATCCTTGGGTTATCACGATGATAAAATGAAACACCTAGCAGGGCTCGGTGGCTCAGCCTGTAATCTCGTGCCTTTGGGAGGCTGAGGTGAGTG